ACAATAAATGCGTTTTGACATGTCATTTTTTTGAAGTTCTGGATTCAACATCTGGTATTGAAGTAAATCTATTTCATGATATAAAATTATTCCAACCCGGATGACAGCCAGTCAAAGGCTAACTTTTTTTAACCCAGAATTTTGAACGTTTCTCTTGGTACATATAGCTTTGCCATCTGGCAATATGATTAAGTAAACATGGCTGAAATTGCGAAATATTATATAGATAATTGAAAATACCTTTCCTCATACACAGGACGTAAAAACGAATCGGAAGATGTCTGTCTTATTCCTTCATAATATGTACACACCAATCTGGATATTCCTTCTGCTTCTTCGAAGTAGTCCACTTCTTTTATGCCTTAGAAATGAAATAGATTATAGTGGCCTATATTCGTGGTTAGTTATGACTCGTTTATGGCTAACTGCAAATTTCTCTAGATTCGGTGCTAACCCATGTATTTTTCCCATGTGTAGTATTTTTTGCAGCTAAAGATATGATCGACTAGAGATAATTAGTTTGAAAAAACTTACCAATCTCTTTCCCCGCTTTTATCAACTCGTTAAACATTGGACTTCGATATCCATGGGTAATATTAAGCATTCCTCCGCGGCCTAAACTATCTGATACTTCGTCACCAAAAGCATTTTCAACTTTTTTGAAAAAGACTTCGACATCTTTCCAACTCCATCTCTTTGCCCCATGATCTTGCCAGGAATCATAGTCATGTGGACTTCCTCTCAAGTACACCATTCCATTAATCGATGACGTTCCTCCCAAAATTTTACCTCGAGGGTACTTTGGCTGGTTAATTAAGTGAAATTGAATTTATTTTTTGATATATGCGATATTTTAATTGTTGAGAGATACATCTCCGACTTGTGATGATATCGTAATTTCAAGAGCCAGGTACAAAAATGATTTGAAAGAGCAAGAATGAACCATTCCGATCATTCTAAAATTAGTGAATTCCTTCTCCAAAGTAAATAATTCCATAACATCACCTTTTCCATTTGAAGAAATGAATGTTTTTGATCAACAATGTCATAATTCCAGTTTACGGATGTTCTCTGTAATTTGACATATCCATTTGGGTATTTTACTAAATGATTTCCCAAATCTGTACCTCCAGCTTCAAGCAATAGCACACTGCATTAAATCGAACATATAAAATAATTTTTATTTTGCAAGTTGATAGTGCACTTTTAGTATCTGTCTTTTGCTGCTCATTTTTACATTTGTCTGTAAGCGATTTAAATGAAAAAAATTTCACCATTGTGCTTTAATTCTTTTTGTCTCATATAGTGATAAGCTTAAAAAAATCATGACATTTATGACTAATAACATGTTTCATTTGAGATAAATACGAAACTGCTCAATGCAGATTATATTGTTAAGACAAATCACAATATTTTTACACGGTTTGAGGTGTTTTATATGCGGAAGTTGAAAGAACAATGATCAAAAAAGAACAATGATCAACTAAATACATTCAAATTGCAAAACTCACGTAACTTCGGGAATTTCAGATAACCTGCTAGCCACAACAGCGCCTGCTGTCCCAGCCCCCACTGCATGATCAGAAAAATATATTTTAACATATTTAAAGTACAGTTGCATTGGGCATTTATAACTTAAAAAAATAGTTCATATTTCTCGCAATATAACTAGGAGCAATATTCGAAATGACCATTCATTAGTTTTAAGATACTGAATTGCATTTGAGCGCATTGAATCTGAATTTTCCCAGTGTCTCGTTTGATACATATAAAACAACATTTTTGTGTGCGTTTTTTAATTAGCATAACGCATTCTAAAACAGCCATCTTGAGGTAGAAAAGTATAACAAACATCAATAATCAGAAGAAAAACTTACCAACGATGAAATCGTATTCATCGAACAGTTCATCTGTAAGCATCGGATCATACGGTTTCTGCGCGAGAAGCGTAAGCAACAACGCAATGATACTGTAATCCCTCATCACTATGACAATGTATTCTGTCTAATAATATTACACGAAACATAATATATCACATAATTAGTTGTTCCATATGAACAGCAGTGCAAATAATAGAATAAAAACATCAAATTAAACAGAAGTTTAAAATATAAAAGAAAATAATTCGCAAAGCTTGCGAATGCTATTTCTGTTTCACATCTGTCATCTTAACTATTTGAAAGCTTCGTTCGACTGGACTCATTCCCGGAATATTCTGTTCGTAAGCATCGTTGAAAATATTGCGTAATTATTCAATTTTAACGTTTCGAACAAGTTCCAAAGTGAACAAATAAAATAATATATACTTGGGTAAGTTAAATTGGCGTATACAACATTTTGATATTTTCCGTTCTGCCACAAAATCATCACCGGTCTGGATATCCCTGTTTCTACAAGGTAATCTATTTCATTATGCCGTATCAGATAAATAGATTATTATTTACGTTTTAATTTCGATTTTCCAAATGAACAATTAATATACATATATCCGTATCCTTGACTAGGCTAATTACATATAGCGAAACACAACAGTCCGATTCAGACACAAAATCGTTTGAAATTTATTTTTCCTTTTTTGCCTCAAGGCGAACCACAAATACCATATATTTATTTCTCTACTAACACAAAACAAGTTATGGTGCACTCATATTTTTCTAGCAACCATGCAAACCGCCATACATAACGGTAATATTAAACTCGAACAACCAGAAATATAGTTAATATATACTATATATATATATAATATATACCAAATGTACCTACATTAATATATTTTGTCATAAATATTTGCTCAAGGCGAAAACAGGGTGTACAGCTTAAGTCGGGGATTCTAAATACCAATATGATAAATTATATAATAATCAATTGGAGACAACAATGCAAACGCGGCGCATATGAAATCTAAATGTCATTTGTCCCCCAAATGAACCGACTTGAGCACATTGTTACATCACAAATTACATAGAAGATGCACGCACGGCTGACATGCACGACACTTGATTTGTATTGAACATTATTATTCCCATCGACGCTAGTATCGGTCGTATCACCGTTTGATTGGCAGCGTGGCTCGCTGGCCCCGTTTTGATCTGTGGGATTTCGAAATTTGCTCACACCACCTGGATCACACACATCTCAACCAGAAAAAGCAAACTTCTGTCTCAATCTAATCTTGAGCTAAGTTATATTATTTTTATGTTGTATCGCAATCTTTATATCATTGATTTTATCAGATTCCGACTGTGGTTCCAGTGGAGCCGCGTCTAATTCGACAGCTGGAGCCTCCCGGAGAAACAAAAACTTAAAAGGGCTGGTTTCAAGCGGTCGTTTGATATGTCGTGGGGATTTCAAATTAAATGACCTCAATTTATTAGCTGCTGAGATGTAGACTGCTAAGATGCTGCTCAGCTCTGCAATAGGAACATCAACTAATTGGTGAGAATGTTTTTCAGGAAATCCTTGGTTACCGTACCTGTCTCAAAATGAATCTTTCAGTAGGAAGTTACGCAACTAACCCCCTCTTCGACCTAAACTCTAATACCTACATATATGGTAGGAATTTCGTTGGAGGATCAATAGCGGCCAACTTCATTTTACCGAGACATCAGGGCCACTACGCCAATTGAAAGAATTTGAATATTTGACAAGATGAGCAAATTTTTCAACAGACCTAATAGTCTGCCGACCCGACAGCAGCCTCCTAACTACGTTTACATCCCCAAAGAACTCAGTTATGCAACACACGTCTACATTCGTGTCGATTCCACAAGGTAAACACTTCAGCCAATCTATACTGGACAAGGTCATTTTCAAGTAGCCTACAATAAAATTTTCCAGGTTGATTTTAAGAAGGATCTTTACGACGAGTCAACCGACCGCTCTAAGCCGGCGTTTCTTCCCCCAGCTGTCAAATCAGACACTGCTCCGCTGAAACCTGATATAGTCAATAAAGTGATTGCGATACAACATGGAAATAAAATAAATTAACTCAAGATTAGATGGAGGCAGAAACAAAAAAATATTTGCCAGAAGTTATTTCATAACTCTTAGGTATTTCATAACTCTTTTATTTCGTCTCTCTGACGCATTTTAAAAGGATTTTGCCTGTGATTTTGATGAACAGGGTTTTCAGAATCACCAGTATAGGACGGTTCCATTACATTTGAACCCACGTACATTTGAACCCATGACAATTGCACCTGTATGCTATTGCACCTATAGAATTTTTTTGTTTCACGGATAGTTAAACCCATACTAACCCTAACCCATGGGTTTTAGCACCCGCATATAGATTGAACCCGTGGATATACGCATGGGTTCAAATGTACGGTCACCGTATTGGACTTTTTTTTAACCATTAAAAAATTGATTCATAATCCTTTAAAATATTCTAGTAAGATTTACTCAATTATTTGACACAGAGTTAACAATTCTCAAAATACCGAGATCACCAGCAAGCAGTCTTGAATGAAATCAAACAACCCCTTGCATGTCAAACAACATAGACCACAGTGTTGAAACATTTACCACAGTTGGAAGTTACAACTGCGTGAAAATTTTTCTTTTGCGGACAGGTGTTTTCTACTACCATAAGCATAAAGCTTGATATTTGCAGTTTTCAGTCTGCATTCTTGGCTAGAATTTAATTTTAAATTTTGAAGTGTTTTGCACTGCTGTCAAATATGCTGTCAGTTTGTAATTTGTGTCAGAGATTTTTTTCAGATTCTTTTTTTGATGTTTCATATATATCATAGCACTCAACTTCTATATAGTGCAGAAACAAATTTTTTTCCTTTCTCTGTCATCTTCAGTATTTTTGTGGTTCATTGCTAACATTAACATCAAAACGAAATAACCATTTCTTTTACCGCGGGCCAGCATCTGATAAATCTCCCCAATCATATGATCTAAAATTTGGCAAGTTTGACATCCTCGTGATAGAAGTTCAAAACTTGTAAACAGCCCAGGGCTTACAAGTCTGAAATGCACAAATTCAAATATTTCCCGAGGACCAGATACCAGATTTTATTCACATTCCAAACAGAAGACATTCCAGATGGAAACACCAATAGATAATGTCATTCCTATAACACAACATCAATAGACACGAATCAAAGGTTAGTGCTCAGGTATAGACATAATACACATATTCGATACACATCAAAACCAATGTTTAAAAATATCCATTTGATAAATCTACCGTGGAGAGTAGTTTGCATCTTGCACTAAGCGAACTTTCGTCATATTTCAAAGTTAATTCCAAACAATCATCATTATGTAAGTGAAATGATTGGAAACGTGATTTGCCAATTTATTACTATCAGGTTTTACAACAACATGATAGTCCACGATTATTATTCCACATCATATTGAACTCCAGTCTTCCTTAATCATGTCTGATGCTCTTTGACCAATCATATAACAAGGAGCCTGAGTATTTGACGACGTGATGTGGGGCATTACTGAAGCATCTGCAATTCTCAGTCCCTGAACTCCACGTACTCTGCAAATGGCATGAAGAAATTTTAAATTATTGTATTAGTATAAAGAGTTTCACTATACAATAAGCTTTGGCAATATCATTATGCGCCGAACAATATTCAGCTCAACCAAGGAAGACGCGCTCCGTGAGTTTCCATGGTTTTACGATTCTTTTTTTAAATAAAAATAGAGAAAGTAGTGGAGGGAACAACAGCGACTATATTTTGGATTAATATGGTATTCAACCAAGCGGGCGTTTATGCGGCACTCCAAATAACACCAAGTTACGAGACCGAAAAAAAAACATTAAACGTTTGTTTGTTAATCGTTGTTTTCGGCGGCGTTAAAACTGCCGAATGCGCTTATGCGGCACTCCAAATAACACCAAATTACGGTGCCGAAAGAAAAACATTGAACATTTGTTAATCGTCGACTGAGATCTAAAACTATTATTTCTCATCAATCGAACATATTGCTTTATACAGAAACATCATATTTATGCAGTTAATACCTGAGTCTTTCGTCAACAACAGCCATTTTGTCGTCCTTATCTCCCATTTTTGCAGTGCAACATGCATGTGTTCCGCGACTAAAAGATCTCGCGTAGCATTCGTAAAACTCATCGGACCTTCGAAAAATGATCAAATTTGAATTAAACGAAAGCTCAATGAATAAATACATGTAGGATAAATTTGCTCATCCAGTGTATGACTATACCGCATCGCACTATTAGCACGCGGTCCACAGAAAATCCGCACGGCTGCGCTATTTTTGAATACGACAATATTTTTGGGGAAATAACAACTCGGCATATGGACTGGCCACAATGCAGATGCTTTGAAGATATACGCAATATAATATATATATATATAAATGAATAATCGTAAAATAACCACGCATCACGAATAAAAGGTTCTATGCACCACCCATGGACATTCCCGACGAACCAAGGTAGCATATGTATACGGACAAGGTATCGATCTTGAACGAATTATTGTGATGTTGGCATGATTCACCACAAACCAGGTTATTAAATAACAGCGTGCGTTTAATGCAAGTTCGGCACATGTGTTGAAACTCCTCTGTTACACGGAGTATTATCCTTGTGGCGTTATCGAAAATATTAATATTCGTGAGCTAGTGATTTCACCTGGGAGGATTTTTGTTCATTTGCCCATTGCAAACATCAGGCACGACCATTGTAAAACCAGTTTCCTTCATTGTCTCTGTCATTTCAAACTTTTCTAATTGCCTGAAACCTGAGTAATAAATTATGGAGTTACCACTATAAAATAAGACAAGATTCAAAAAAGTTTCAAATACAAATTTGTAGATAGACCACATAGCATCGACCGAAGTTGTTGCAATGGTCCGAAAGAACATTAAAAGTGTAATAATGGAGTTGACTGCTTTGTGAGAATGAATATATTCTTTTAACCAATACACAATAAGAATGAGCCTTTAAATTAAATCATAAACATTACACCATGTATTGTATACAATCGCAATTCTATTAAACTTTTACACTATAACCAGGATGAAAAAATTTCCGCAACTGCAGCCCACAAATAAACCCCGGTATTTAAAGCATTTCAACTGTATATAATCAATGAGCATATATGCATACCTTATTTTAAATTCTTATATGTTTTAGCACAGAATTTCATCTAACGTACCTTCAATAAGAATCTTTACATCATCGTGATTTGATAAATAATTAGGATCAATAATCGGTTGGTCGAATGGGTTCGTTGAATTCAAACTTATCGTTCCTTTTGACTTTGGATGTTGAAGATATAATACAGCACCAGAGTGAAACGCAGGCTATAGGTTATAGATGGAAAATATAAACAAAACGGTAGCTAGAATCTGGCTAGACAATAGATATTTCCCTAAGCATCTACTTCCTTGTTTACTTTCGTAACATTGGCTAGTCAGCATATTGGAAAAAGGAACGTAACAATACACGGTTTAGCAGCCGCTCAGACACTTTTGTCACTCAGACAATTTTTCAGGCGGGGTTGTAAATAATACCTCGTTTTCGTGTTTCGGCATGCTGTTATTATTTTTAAGTTGTGTTTCGGAAATTTAAGTATGAATCAAAGAACTCAATAATCATTTATCTTAGTAGAAGTTTTATTTTAATTACAGTAATCAAAAATTTGTCTAAAAATAGCCGTGATAGACTAGGATAAACTTTTCTTTCTACCTGTACTTTTAAATGACAGGTTATTGAATATTCTGAATCAAAATGATGGTTTGAAACATCATAGGCGCCAATTCGGGAAACCACTCTTAATATAAGCACCGAAATATTTGCTATGATAAAGTATGGGTAGCATTTTACGGGGATCAAAGATTGGGGAAACATCCATAACTTAATTTCGTCATGCAAGAAATCATAAATAATTCAAACACTATTCATTATACATTAGAATCGCGGATTTCATCGCAATTGACAGATATAGTCACGAAGGACCATAAGATTATATATAAGACTGATCTAATACTAATATACAAATTATCGATTTGATTTATACGTTCTAATTGAACACATAAAATCATTTATACAGACTACAGTCTTTTTCATATCTACACCTAGAATAAAAATGCCAAGAAGACAGCTTAATTACATAGCGATGCACGTCTTCTCGTCCCATATACAATCCCTGTATATATTAATAGACTAGCCAACCTATTGATCGTTTTTGATTAGTGGGTTTGAATCCTGTAGGAACAGTTTTTCCGACGAGGAGTCCAGCATTCCGTTACGATCTTCTCTAAACTTTAATCATTATTTTAGTCTAAGACTCTAATATAAACTGGTTTTCAGTTGAGTAACACAGACAGTCCTTGAACTCGTAATAGAACTAAAATAATTAAAATCGGACTGTCGGAAAACTATGGCCTAACCCTAACCTGGTACACACACTACAGGAGTGCCATATTAAAACCCACCTTCTCGTGAGTAGAGAAAACAATAGGATATGGAAATGGAACAAACAATGCTTCAATCATCGGAAATGGTCGTTTCCTGTAAGAAATTGTGACATTGTTATTATTCTTATTGTAATCCCAATTATTCTACATAAATATCAGAGTCGCATTTTACATCGAATTTATTCATATTCTCAGTTTACAATATTATACAAAACTATATAAACGCCAATAAACATTCTGAAGCAAATATAATATATGTTCACATACACCGCAGTACAACTCTAGCTTCACTCTGAACGTCTTAACCAGTTCGGTTCTAAAAGAGGTGTGTGTTCTAAATATGGTATAACTTTCTTGGATAAGACATATTTACTCAAGTTTATTTCTTTTTTGGGCGTTTGCACGTATCCACTCGAAACAAGACTGTAAGCAAGCAACTCCCATACGTATGGACCCACTATTTATTACCCGATTTTTGTACCATGAGTGAGATTGCGGGTCGGCACCGGAATCTTTAAGTCCTCATTTAGTATCGCAGAATTGGTGCTCGCGAAATATTCGTACCAAGATAGCGCACAACCTGAACACAGTTTGTGTACCAGCTACCAGGTTAGAGTTGTTCAGGTTGTGTGTCATCTTGGTACGATTACTTCCGGGGCGCCGCAGAATCGATATCGGTTACTATTCCTCTTAGTATATTGATTTTATATAATTTCATTCAATATTTAAAATTTGGGTATATGATTAAAGAAGCTTTAGTTTGCGGGAAAGGATAGATTGAAGAGAAGATTTCACGGCTCCAGTTGAGTGTAAAAAATTTAGTTCTGTTTTAAGTCCCATATCTCTAAAACAAAAATATTATTGTACAAGCAGACACTTACTTGTCTCTGCATTCGATTTCAGCGATGCCTTGTTGTATTGAATTAATTTTAGAGCACATAGATAAAACAAGTAACAATTAATATAAGAGGAACATAATGGATCGAAAAAACAAATTCAATATATTTCACATACTTTGTACTCAAGCTAACGTCAGTTCCAAAGTATTTTGTTCTGTGATGAAGAACTCCATCTATTCCAACTATTGTGGATAAAGCTCCAGTTCCATTTAAAATATATTCTTTCATCGAATTCTTTGTCTGGAAAATATCTATTGGGTTAATTATTCTCAATTTTACATTTTGTAGCCCTGTATAAAAATTGTTAACTAAATTTTACCTGCCCATAATACCGTGGACTGTTCAGTTTGAAATATATTGGGTTATTGAAGTGGTCTTCCATGTTAGATCCAACACCAGGAGCATCCACTACAACCTTGATCTAAAACGTATATTAAGCTCAAGTACGATGATAATGTAAACAAAATAGATCTTGTAATGGTGGCCTTCGGTGGGTATTGTTAATCGAAGACCGTACATTTGAAACCACGTACATTTGAACCCATACATTCGCACCCGTATATCCGCGGATTCAATCTATATGCGGGATCTAAAATCCATGGATTAGGGTTAATATGAGTTCGAATATCCGTAAAAAAATTTACATATGTGCAATAGTATGCAGGTGCAATTGTCGTGGGTTCAAATGTACGTGCGTTCAAATGTAATTGAACCGTGTTAATCGTGAAAAAACATTAACTTCACCGACATTTATATTTGCATATTATGTTCCTATATAAATCTTTGCAATGAAGTGGATATTACCATTATCAATAGTAAGACGGACTGGGTTATGCGTCGCAAACAGATAAGATAAGAGGTAAAAAAGAAAAGTCCCAACTAACCATCATATCCTCCAAGTGGTTCTTGGGGCCGATCCCAGATAACATCAAAATATGTGGAGTTTCTATCACTCCCGCGGATAGAATAACTTCCTTTCGTGCTTTTACAATTTTCTCTTTCCCATTTTTAATGTAGGTTACACCGTTAGCCGATAGTTTGCCATTTTCATCAGTATCAAAAAGCACTTTACCGACACGTGCATTTGTCACAATGTGAAGACGGTCTTTTCTAAAATGGAAATACTACTTTCAGCTTGAGCAATTGATTCATAACTGAATAATTATTAGTTTTAACGTCACCAAATTAAAGTCAGTTTTTTGAAGTTCTGGATTCAAAACTATTTTAACTAGTGTGTCAAAGCAGCAGGACTCTTGAATCGCATATTATGGTATTTTATTCCTGCTACAGCATCCTTGCATTACATGCATACGGATCCACTAGCGCAAAGGCATAGAGAAAGGATTGGGAGTTAGTCTCGCGCAACCTCTACTGATCGTTATATTAGCCTTTTTTCACGTGACTTCTGTATCCGAATGGATCCTGCCAAACTCCGGACTCGACAACTACCACAAGAAAAGAATTCAGAAGCAATACTAAAAAGAATTCAACGCCTTTAAAAGAATCACATTATAAGGACCCTGGCTATCAAGATCTGAGCCTAGAACACATTGATAAATGTTCTAGTGAAACTTATTGTGAAATCAAGCACGCCGCGGAACAATTATTCCATGCTGAGAACCGATTGCATTTTTTTATTTCGCAATCTGTTTCTGAATATCAATAATTGTTTTTTCATTGTTTGCTCACAATTAATTTTAAACAAATTTATTTATCGCCATATACTGCATGATCGCTCTTTTCTTGTCATTGTTGTAAACTGCTTGTCTGAGGAAGTCTGATTTTGGTCAGACGAAACGTTACAGAAATATATTTGTGTTAGTGTGCAGCAGGACTCTTGAATTGCATACTAATTTATTTTAACTGGGATTTTGGATGTAGTATACTATTGGAACGTCTCTCTTAGTTTACAGCTTTGCCATTCGCCAATATGATTAGTTGAACATTACCGAAGTTTCGAAATATTGTATATATATAGATAATTGAAAATACCTTTCCTCATACACAGGACGTAAAAACGCATCGGAAGATGACTGTCTTATTCCTTCATAATAGGTACACACCAATCTGGATATTCCTTCTACTTCTTCAAAATAGTCTACTTCTTTGATGCCTTAAAATGTAATAGTTTATATTTGCCTATTTTCGTGGTTACTCAGTTGAATTGTATATATTTATGTTTCTTTTACTTTATGCTTGTTGCTATGTACCTTTTGCAAGTTTAGGATTTTTATAGTCCACTATCAATGCTATTGCACACGACAAAAAATCTTACCAATTTCTTTCCCGGCTTTTATCCACTTGTCATACATTTGACTTCGATAACCACGGCTAACATTAAGCATTCCTCCGCGGCCTAAACGGTCTGATATTTCGTCACCAACGGCATTTTCAACTTTTTTGAAAAATACTTCGACATCCTTCCAACTCCATCCCTTTGCTCCGTGATCTTGCCAGGAATCATAGTCATGTGGACTTCCTCTCAAGTACACCATTCCGTTAATCGATGACGTTCCTCCCAAAATTTTACCTCGAGGGTACTTTGATGGCTGATTAAGCGAAATTGATTTGGATGTATTTTTGTTATAAACAATATTTTAATAAATATTAAAATCAACATTATTTTATCCAATTAGTAAAATACGGCAAGTGAATAAAATTACGAGAAAAGAGTGAACAAACATTTGCATTGGGAAGGGAGGCCCGGTGGACCATTAGATTATCAAATATCTGATTAATTAATATATATAGGATTGGAAACATATTTTTGATAACTGTCATTGTTGAGACTAACCACTCCTACTTGAGATTATATTGAAGAGCCAGGTACAAATATGTCGTGTTCAATATTACGATTTAAAACAGCCAAACCTGTATCATTCCAGGGGTCATTCTAAATTAGGACTTTCTACTTCAAAGTATTCGCTTCTATGACGTTACCTTTTCCATCTGAAGAAATGAATGTTTTTGATCAACAATGTCATAATTCCAGTTTACTGATGTTCGCTGTAACTTGTTAAAACTATTTGGGTATTTGACCAAATGGTTACCAAAATCCGTGTCTCCAGCTTCAAGCAGTAGGACACTGCAATAAATTTAAGATGAAAACGATACTAAAAAAACGATCTATGTAGATTAAAATAGTGTGATAGCACACAATATATTCACACAACTCGAAATGTTATATGTAGAAATTATAAATCTAAGAACAGTCAACGAAATACATTTAAAATGCAAACTTACGTAACTTCGGGAATTTCAGATAGCCTACTAGCCACAACAGCGCCCGATGTGCCAGCCCCCACTGCAAGATGAATAAAGAACATATTAAAGAATTGGCCAATTTGAGGTGCAGCTGCATCGGCGCATTTATCATTTCATATTTCTCGCAATATAACACGAAGCTATATTTGAAAAAAACACTCACTAAATTGAAGGATAAAGTCTTTACGAAAAATGAACTAAATTGCATTAGAGCTCATTGCAACTAAAATTTTCCAGTGTAGAATCATGATATTTTCCACAGGAAACTTTGACATACAAGAAACTTTTTTCGTCATTTTCCACACACAGAAAGCAATAGTTTTGTACGTGTTTTTTAATTATCTCAACGCATACTAAAACGGTTATCTTGAAAAATAAATGTATATTTTAATCAATTATCAGAAAAAAACTTACCAACGATGAAATCGTATTCATTAAACGGTTCATCAGTAAGCATAGGATCATACGGTTTCTGCGCAAGAAGCGTAAGCAACAACGCAATGATACTGTAATCCTTCATCACGACGACAATGTATTCTGTCTAATAATATTACACGGAACATAATATATCGCAAATATAGTTTTTCATATGGCCAGAAACACAATGCAAATAATAGAATAACAACATCAAATTAAACAACAGTTAAAGTTCTCAGAGTGTATAAGTAAAAAAACTTGCAAAGCTAGTACATACTATTTCTGCTTTTTAATCTGTATTATATATCTGTAATTTTTATGAATATGAAAGTTTCACATATGTTTCGTTCAACTCGACACATTCGCGCCTCATTTGTGTCCTTAAACATCGTAAGGCGTAATTATTCAATATTTTTCTTTCAATTCACCGAGTAATTTACAAAGGAAAAAATTACAGTTAGCGTATACAGCATTCCGATCTTTCTGTTTTGTCACAAAATCATTTGATATTTAATTCCCCTTTTTGCCGCAAGGCAAACCAAAAATAAATAACATATATACATATTTAAAAATACAACGGAACGGTTGTAACACATTTGTCTACAAACACAAAAACAGGTTATGGTACGCCCATATTTTTGACAACTGCCAAACCTGCCTACACAGCGGTAATATTGAACTATTGTACGATGATATATTTTTGTCATAAATATTTGCTCAAGGCAAAAACGCAACAACTGGCCCGAAAGAAAAGAAGCCGCATTCAAAGCAGACTTTCAGTGAACACTGACGGTATTATCAAATAATAATGAATATATACATATTGAAATAAAAACATGTCTTACGAGTCTTTATCAATTGACTTGACGGCCTAAACGGCTTAACATTTGCACACATAGCCAATGTTCAAATAGTGTTTCGAAGGATTAAGTAAATTTAATCGCAAAGGACTGTTTGGGCCTGTTTTTTTTTTTAACTGGGATCACATTCGTTTGTGACATGAGTTGATAAAATAATAAGATAAATAGAAGATTATTCATCATCCAGTTATTAGCCTACAAATCAAACAAAAACACAAGTAATAACACTCAATAAGTAAAAGAAAATAGCCGACTAACAACGGAATTAATAGGAGGTCGGATGAACCGTACGGTCGCTAATTCAAAACAACTCTCCTGGCATGAATAAGGTTGACAGTTCACATTTTATATTATATCAATTATAAATCAGGTTGATTTGTTGTAACTAACAATCATGTAACAAGAGTAATGTGACGGTTCCATTACATTTGAACCCACGACAATTGCACTTGCATATATACTATTGCTCCTATGAATTTTTTTTGTTTTACGGATATTTGAACCCATAATAACCCTAACCCATGGGTTTAAGCACCCGCATATAGACTGAATCCACGGATACACATGGGTTCAAATGTACGGTCATCTAATGTGACACATATAAGACAAAATTAAAACAATAACGCCAAGAAAAAGCGTTTAATTTTATATCACACAAATAAAAATTCAAACGTGAAGTCAAAAGTATCTGTTTTGCTAACAAGAGATTACATTCAAGGCAGAATTGCAGTTGTGAATATGGTCAAAAATTTGTTTATTTTGTGCTCTTACGATTGAAGCTGATGAGAAGAAGCTTGAGAAAATGTATGATTATGTATCGATCGACACAGATTTTAGAATTAGAATCCAATATGCGGGAGAATCTGCCAGTAAGTACGTAGAATGTCCAACATCTATATTGTTAGCGTACAATAACACCGAAATTTTAGCTTCGGGCACTATTGAGTGTAATATCGAATTTGAAGGAAATACATGGGGCGTATTCAATTTTTATGTGGCCAAACAAGATAATTGTCTGACGGAATTGATTTGATTGATTATTCGGAATTTGGGATAAATTCACCTTAGTTACCACAAATAAGCTAAAAGAAGACTGAAGTTGATGAACTTTTTGTTGAATTACGAATATTTATACGCGAAGGCTCGCCTCAAAGTAATGGGTAATGATTTTTTGAGTTTCGAAATGTTTGTAACGAATTATCTACCTGGAATGAATATTGTATTTCAAGAGGCATTCAGGTATTAGCAAAATGAAAAAACAAAAATGTAGAAATTCTGTTTGGTGGCCTGGTGGATATTGAAAAATTGTGGATCTTGTTTGTTATCACAAAAATTGTTAAAACTTTTCACATCAGAGACTTTTAAATCCCTAATTAACATTTGAAAGCTTTGTTTACGAAATGGGGATATCCGAGAGTTTTATCACTGACAATGGACCAAAAATTACATCTTACGAATTTGAAAACCATCTTCGCAATGAACATCGTCGAACAGCCGTATATAAGGGAGGATGAAATGGAGCAGTAGAACGGTTTGAAAAGTGTATCAAGAACGGTTTAAAAAGACAAATTACAAATGGGAAGCTGTTCAATGAAGCTTTACTAGGTATTTTAATTTATTATGGATCCTTGCCTCATTATGTAACAAATTTGTCTCCAGCCAAACTTATGATTGGGAGAAAGTTGCTGCGTCCAATTGATTTTATGAAAACCGCTGAAGGAAAAAGAGATTGAGGATTTGAGTGTAAGGGTATTGTAAAAGCAAAGAATATTGCAGAGGAATCGGTTCCAGGAGAAATTGGACAATCTCCTGTTTGTAGAAAGATCTCGACGCAGTGGACTACGACCTAAGTATTGAAATGACTATGACAGACAGATGACTAGACAGCAGCAAATTTCGCATTGATTTGCCTGCTTTTGAACCGCATTCTTCTATCAAATTACATTGGACTCTTTGACATTTGGATCGATTTGGAAACTTTCCGGGTCCGTAAAATTAGTTTTGATATTTTACAGATCCGCAAACTAAAAAAGGTTGAGAACCGCTGGTAGAGGACAATCTTTATGGCAGAATAAGACTTAACCGACCAGTGGTTACCGTACTTCCTACGACGGTGAGGAGTTCAGAGGTCCTCTTGCGCATAATTATCTCCCCCAATAGGATGCGGCGAAGTGGCGCATCGTGCTAAGCTTTAGGAATAAACTCCCCACCACACCTCTAATTACCGTGCGTGGGATCGCAGGTTCAAAAACAATGCGGAGATAGAAAGACTCTTCGCCGCCGTAGGGTGGTTCACGTAACCGATGGTCGGTTACGAATTCCTCCACAATCAGGTCCATGCTTCCGAAAACAAAATACCTGGCTACCTATTCCCATACCCAACATGGACTGATACCATAACCAGACGAGAGGCCGTGGTTTTCCATATGATCGGGCTATCTTATCGGTTTTCTCCCTTTGGGACAAATATGGAAATCCTAACCTGCGACCCCACACAAGGCGTTAGAAATGCTTCCTAACCGCGAGACAATTTTACAGTTTTTGACCACCAGTGGTTCCTTTTTGCATTCGCGGTAGGTTGAATTGCACCCTTGATTGCAGGAGGGACAGTGCTCACCATTCGCCAACACAGAAATACACATTTCTCAAGTTTGTCAGGTTTTGTCTATGCCCTGGTTCTTTTCGAAAATTACCAACATCTCAGTATGAAAATTGATACTGGTACCGCACTATCTGACAATAGATATCTAAATAGTTTATCCTATTATCTGGCAGAAGTAGTGTTTACTTTGTTAAGAACTGGGTGTTTTGACGTCCCAAACAAATTTTATAAACTAGGTTCAGTTCAGACGAGTAATTATAAAATGGCTATGTCCATTCTAAAATTAAAATGACGATGTCCGCAATATCCCTACTAAAATAGCTATGTCCGGTATGTCCTTACTAAAATGGCGATGTCGGCTATGTCCCTACTAGGATGGCTATGTCCGCTATGTTCCTACTAAAATAGCTATGTCCCTACTAAAAAGGCTATGTCCGCTATGTTTCTACTAAAATACCTATGTCCGCTATGACCCACCCAAAATGGCTATGTCCCTACTAAAAAGGCTATGTCTGCTATGACCCTATCAAAATGGCTATGTCCGCGATGTCGCTACTGCAATGGCTATGTCCTCTATGTTCCTACTAAAATGGCGATGTCCGATATGTCTCTACTAAAATGACGATGTCCGCTATGTATCTACTAAAATGGCTATGTGCGTTATGTCCCTAATAAAATGGCGATGTCCGGCATGTAACTACAAAAAAGGGCCATGTTCGCTTTGTCCCCACTAGCATGACGATGTCTGCTATGTCCCTACTAAAATGGCTATGTCCCTTCTAAAATGACTATGCCAGGCATGTCCCTACTAAAATGGCTATGTCCGCTATGCTCCTACTAAAATGGCTATGTCCGCTATGTCCCAACTAAAATGGCTATGTCCACTATGTCCCTACTAAAATGGCTGTGTCCGGTATGTCCCTATTATAAGGCGATGTCCGCTATGTTCTTACTACAATAGCTATGTCCACTATGTCCCTACTAAAATGGCTATATCCGCTGTGTTCCCACTAAAATGGCTATGTCCCAACTAAAATGGCCATGTCCGATACGTCCCTACTAGAATGGTTATGTACGCTATGGCCCTCCTAAAATGGCTACGTCCGCCATGTCTCTATTAAAATGACGATGTCCGCTATGTACCTACTAAAATGGCTATGTGCGCTATGTCCCTAATAAAATGGCGATGTCCGGCATGTAACTACAAAAAAGGGCCATGTTCGCTTTGTCCCTTCTAGAATGACGATGTCTGCTATGTCCCTACTAAAATGGCTATGTTCCTACTAAAATGACTATGCCAGGCATGTCGCTACTAAAATGGCTATGTCTGCTATGTCCCTACTAAAATGGCTATGTCCGCTATGCTCCTACTAAAATGGCGATGTCCGATATGTTCCCACTAAAATGGCTATGTCCACTATGTCCCTACTTAAATGGATGTGTCCGCTATGTCCCTACTAAAATGCGATGTCCGCTATGTTCCTACTAAAATGACCCTTCTAAAATGGCTATTTCCCTACTAAAATGGCTATGTCCGCTATGTTCCCACTAAAATTACTATGTCCCAACTAAAATGGCTATGTCCGCTATGTTCCCACTAAAATTACTATGTCCCAACTAAAATGGCTATGTCCGTTACGTCCATA